GTACAATATCAAATCTGTGTTCTTTATATATATATATATATATATATGTGTGTGTGTGTGTGTGTGTGTGTGTGTGTGTGTGTGTGTGTGTGTGTGTATTTCTGAGATGAAGTCTTGCTATGTTGCCCAGGCTGGCGTTGATCCCCTGGGCTCAAGTGATCCTCTCAGTTCAGCCTCCCAAGTAGCTAGGACTACAGACACACACCACTATGCCCAGCTTAAAATATTTTGATGACTGTATTTTTAATATAATTTGTTTCCTTCATAATCCAATGCATTTAATTTATTTTAAACATACGAAGATACTCTTCTGAAGAGGAGTCCATGGCTTCACCAGATGCCAAAGAGGCCCATGCCACAGCAAGGAAAGTTCATTGATCAATCCTCCAATGACCCCATGAAGCAGTAGTATTACCAGCTTGCTACAGAGGGGAGCCTGAGGCACAGGGAAGATGTACAACTCGTTTAAGGTCACACGGACATTGAGTGGTTGTGCATTGCAATAACTGCCAGCTGTTTTCATAGCCTGTGAGCTGATGTGGGATTGTCCCTTGTGTCACATCAGAAACCAAGTCTGGTTAATTGTTTTCTTTCTCAAGGTTAAGTGAGATCAGTACAAACAATACACATACATCACATGGATTATTTACGGTCATCATTTGCCAATTCTTATACCTGTGCCATGTTGGATTAATTATTACAGCTTTGTAAGCTGGTTTATTAAGGAGGGGAAGTCGAACGAACAAATCATTGCAAGTCACTTCACCTCATCTTCTCATTGAAGGATGCTGAGGCTGGTGTTGCTGTCAGCTTTCTAAAGCATCTTTAAATGGGAGAGGCGAAGGCCCGCACAGACCAAGTGGAAGGAAAACTCAGAAAAAAGGGTCAAATCCCCCGGCCACTGAGACAAATATCCTGGTGCTGACCATCCTCCACCCCACCCACATGGCCGCTTTCTACCTCGAGTGTGGTAGTTGTCTCTGGAGTGTACTCAGGGAATGCTGCTCCCAGTGTGGAAACCATCTTTGCTGGGAACATGCAGAAAGCTCAGAAATGATGTGTCCTGCCCATCTGGCTCCCTCAGGACTCATCAAGTACCAGTGGGAGAGACTGAGTGGTCTTGAAGGCCTTTCCAGAAAGTTCCTCTGGCCCTCGATATAGGAGTTTGGTGGTAGAGGCCCAGATGCCCAGAGTGCTGCAGGAGAGGAAGGCAGCTCACACATGCAGGTGTGCTGGAGGTGGTGCGTGGCTGTGCTGCCTTGGATGAGACCCTTTCCCTGTCTGAGCCCTAATTTCTTTTTTCTTTTTTGAGATGGAGTCTGGCTCCATCACTGAGGCTGAAGTGCAGTAGCGTGATCTCGGCTCAGTGCAACTTCCGTCTCCTAGTTCAAGCAATTCTTCTACTTCAGCCTCCTGAGAAGCTGGGGCTACGGGCATGTGTCACCATGCCCAGCTAGTTTTTGCATTTTTAGTAGAGACAGGGTTTCACCATGTTTCCCAGGATGGCCTCGAACTCCTGAGCTCAGGCAGTCTGCCTGCCTTGGCCTCCCAAAGAGCTAGGATTACAGGCTAGGAGCCACTGTACCCGGTGCCTTATTTCTCCATCACTGAAATGGGAAGAAAACTAACCTGGTGCAGGGAGAGATGACAAGGGTTTTGTATAGGAACCTGCAGATGCAGGCATCCTAGAGGCTGGTCCCTATGACCCGTGGCCCCCAGGAGACCCAGCCTAGGCTGGAGGCCACACCAGCCATGGCCTCTACAGTGCCTTGTACTGCCCAGGGTCCTCAGGCTGGTCTTGTCTGCAGCCATCATGAGTCAGCATCACTATCAGAAGGGCTTTCAGAGATTGCAAGCTGCTCTGTCCATGGGAAACAGGCTCAGAGAGGGCCAGCAGCTCTGATCAAATGGCAGAGCCAGGACTAAGAACCAAGGTCTAATATTGCTGGGCAGGACACAGCTGTGTCCTTGATAGTCTGAGGCAATCTCAGATGAACTGGAGCCTGGGTCAGGACCTGGGGACAGGAGGCTGAGAAAGGGCACAGAGGTGGAAAGAAGAGAGATGGGAGCCAGGGACAGAGAAGGAGAGAAGGTGAGCACCTGCTCCTGCCTGCCCAGCATCTCTGCTTTCTGAAGTCATGACTTGGGTGGCACTGACCCCACTGTTGGTGCCAGACATGATCATGTGACCCAGGTCTGGCCAAGCAGAATAAGAGTGATAAGCGCAGGGATGGACAAAGGACCAATCCTGGCTGCAGAGAAACATTCCTTTACGGGAACCACGGAGACAGGGGGCCCTAGGCTGCCAGAGACTTCTTATGAGGAAAGACCCTGGCTGAGAATAGAGTCATTGCGGCAGATGGAGAGGCTGAGAGGTGGAGCTGACATCATTTGAGTCACTGGATCTAACCTCACTTGCATTTACCCTTAGACTTCCCAGTTATGTGAGTCTATTTATTCCTTAGGCCAGAATTTCTATTCCTTGTACTTGAGTCCTGGCATGAAGGAGGAAGGAAGGTAAGAAGGAAGAATGAATATTTAAGAATGAGTGTCTGAGGCTGGGTGCGGTGGCTCCTGCCTATAATCCCAGCACTTCGGGAGGCTGAGGCAGGTGGATCACATTGAGGTCAGAAGTTTGAGACCAGCCTGGCCAACATGGCAAAACCCCATCTCTACTAAAAATACAAAAATTAGTGGGTGTGGTGGCAGGTGCCTGTAATCCCAGCTACTCAGGAGGCTGAGGTAGGAGAATCATTTGAACCTGGGAGGCAGACGTTGCAGAGATCTGAGATCACGCCACTGCACTCCAGCCTGAGCAACAGAGACTCCGCCTCAAAAAAACAAAAACAAAAACAAAAAAACCCCCCAGAAAAACAGGTGTCTTAGGACAACTCAAATCAGCTTCCTGCTCTCTTATAAATTGGGAGTACACAGAGAGACCTGGGCCTTCATCCTACCCGGAGGAGTTCTGTACCTGGGGCTCACAGCTCTGCCCTGCCTCCTCTCTAGCTTGCAATCAGCCTAGAAACTACAGTAGAAAAATACATGATGTGCATACAAAAATCAAACGCCTTTTCCTCACCTGCGTACAGGACAGGGGCAGCATGCTCTGGGGAATGCCTTCCTCGCCCCATTCACCTCTTTGGGGACACACATTTATTAGGTTCCTGCTTCATGCCAGGCTCTGTTAAGGAGATGACACACATGGTCTCATTTCCTCCATGCCACAGCCTAGCCAGGAGGGAGTATTATCATCTCCATTTTACAGATAGGACAACTGAGGCTTTGACGATTGAGAAGATGATTGGTGCCTTGAGAGGCCGAGCCGCTGGACCAAAGCGTCAGAGCTGGAGCAAGTTTGTCCGACTCCAGAGCCCTGCTCACAGTAGGCGCTAAATAAAGATCTGCTGGCAAATGTCGCCTGAGGCAATTTGAGCTGTCTGGGCAGCAACCTGCCCCTAAATATTTCCCATCCTGCCTGAAATGCCACCATTTCCTCTGGATCTAGAAACCATGTCCTTTGGGTCTTGAAGGGGAAAAGTGCTGTTTCCCGGGACTGAGATCAAAGTCAGTCTGTGGGGTTTACTCAGGGATCGGCTGAAAGTGGGACTCAGAACTGAGCCAGAGCCAGGGGGACGAAGGTGTCCCATTCCCACTGGCCCAGCCTAATCCAGGAGAAAACCTTCTGAGGACAGAGGTGTATCTTGGTGGTAGGGCAGGTGGGTGCCTGGTTGGCCCTGGGTGTTGGCCGATGACAACAGGGCTGAAAGCATGACACGGTGATGGGGACAGGTGACAGAGCGGCTGTGGGCCCTTTCCGACTGCGGCCTCTGAGAGAAGCTGTGAGGGCCCTGGTCTCCCAAACTCAGGCAGAGGCCTGATGTTCTCCTCTGTGGCTCCCCTACTACCACCACAGAGGCAGCATCACTGCTGGATGGGGAAGGGGAGGGAGGCTAGGGGTTTCGGCTTGGAGGCAGAGAGGATCTGGACCTGGAGATGGATGTCCTGGCTCACAGTTTCTGTCCTTGAACTGGGGGAGTTGAGGTGACAGGGAGTCTTAAGGGAAGCCACCCAGGTAGAGGTCCAGCTTCCTGTGGCTTGAAGGAGCCTTGGAGGAAATGAGCCTATAACACAGACAGGGACTTGGCTCTAGACCCTTCTTCAGGGGTGGTATCTGTTTTAACTGAAAGGTTCTTTCCAGTTGTTTTTAGAGGTTGTTTGAGGCTGTCACTGTAGCCAAAAAGGGTGAGTATAGGTGGAGTGGGGGATGGGATGGGGCTTTAGCCACGGGGAGCACGAGCTTTTTCCAAGGGCATCTACAGTCCTGTGAGATGCTCTGGGACAAACAGAGCCCATTTTCAAATAAGTACATTTGGAGAAAGCTGCCCACTCTAGCCCCTTCATGGGTCGTCACAAGGCGCGTGGCCGTATTAAAGGCTCTGATCATCCTTCAGGGAAGAATGCCTCTTCACTTTGACTTAACCTGCTGTTTCCTTTTCTTGCTGCTCACAGGTACTTTTAGAGGCAAGCCATAGTCATTCCCTGTGACACATACTCTAGGACATGCTGGAGGTGGAGAAGCATGTCCTGATAGGAGGAGGTGGAGAAGCATGTCCTGATAGGACATGCTTTCTCCTAAAGACCCTGAGCTCCAGACACTGGAGCCTAGAAGTGGTGAAGTCTGAGAACTCTGAGCTCCAGGGTCATTGCAGCCCAGAAGTGGTGAAAGGTAGAGGGGAAATGATTAATCCACCCATTAAGGGGTGGATGCAGCCCCTTCAGACTTGAAAAGAAAGTTCAAGGACATCTCAAGACTAGGAAAGCTTGGCACAGGAGCTTGGAATGGGAGATGGCCTTCTCGCCAACCCGGGGGATGGAACCTGGGCTCTCCAGACAGTTTCTAGTGTGCAAAGTCCTTCCCATCTGCCTGCAAACCCACCAGTGGTCATGTATTCCTTTGAGGAGCCAAGTTTGGTCTGTTCTCAGCCCGTTCAAGGTATTGTGACCCTCTAGGTGGCAGGGAGCCCCTGCAGGAGGCAGGAGAGAAGAGGAGCGAGACCTAACCAGAGGGATGGGCCCCGGAACACCCTCCATGTCACACACGGAGGGGAGTAGGGAGGCAGATGACCCTTCTGGACTTCTGGGGGAAGGAGGGCTGGCTCAGGAGACCCCAGAGGTCAAGGAAGATGGTGGCACAGGGTCCTGCATCTGGGTCCAGGTTGTCCGGGAGTGCCAAGTCCGAGCTCCTCATGCGTGGTCCAGCCTCTGGCATGGCTGCTCATTAGATGCCCGAGGGCCGTATCATCAGGCGGGAGGCACGCAGTGAGTAGCTGGGGCCCTTGAAGTAGTGCCAGCGGATGCCGTCCATCTTGTGCTTGTTATTGGGAGCGCGGTAGTAGATGCCATTGAGGTTCGACAGGCCACAGGCATCAAACCACCACCCTGGTGGAAGAGGGAGGAAAGAGGCTTGGTGGAGGTGGGGGCCCAGCCAGTGGCAAGAGGGCAGCCCCTGTGTCCCAAAGAGAACAAAGAGCTGTTGCCTCCTCTGGGAAACCAGCTGGCTGGGGATGGGGCTGGGTGGGAGTGGGGGTGAGGTAGACAACATACCCTCTGCTCAGCTGGAGCGTCTAGAGGGCAGCAGGGGGCTCCGGCCATCCCTTGAGCCCCTCTGCTTCTCCTGGCCTTTTCCCTTAGCCCTTGGTGTCCGTCTTCCTCCCTCACTGGCCCTCTGTCTTTCCAGCTCCCTAACCTCCTCAAATCACTCTCCCCATTGCTTTCTAGTGGTCCCTGTCACTCTCTCCGAGTCTCTCACCCTCCGGGGTCATCTCTTTCTCTCTGACAGTCTCTATGCTTGGGTGTGTCTCATTGTGTTCCTCTTTCTCTGATGGTCTTTGCCCCTCTCTGCCTTTCATGTCTCTGGCCTTCGCTTCCTCTGGGCCCCCATCTTTCACATGCTATGTTCGTCTCTGGGACTTTCCTTGGGCCGAGTCTTTCTCCCCCGTCTCCCTCTGCACTTCTCTGCCCGGATATAGCTCTCCATCTCCTGCTCAATGACTGACAGTCTTGGTGTCTCTCTCTCTCTCTCCATCTGTCCTCTGTGTCTCAAAAGTTCTCTCCCCTTGTCTCTGTCCTTCCTTCTTTGTCTCTGTCTCCCACTTGCCCCACTTCCAGCTCTTTGACCTCTGTACCTGCCAGAGTTGGTAGAGAGCTGTCCCTCTGCCACCCTCTAGTCTCCTGATCCTGGTTTGGCTCGCCTGGGGTTGGGACTGGTAAGGCAGGGTGCCTTCCCATGGAACCCCACACTCAGTGTTCCTTTAGCCTTGTCTCTGAGGAAAGCTGGTGGTGCCAGCTTTTGGAGGAGGTGAGACCTGGAGGGGACCTCAAGAACCTAGTGGGGGAAGGCACCAAAGGAGCTCAGCCAGGTGAGCACATGGGTGGGCAAGGCCGGACCTGCACCCTGCTCCTGACAGCACCTGGGTGCACAAGAACCTGCGGAGGGAATGGGACTGTCAATCTGGGTGAGCCTGTGGGTGGGCAGAGCTTCACCCCACCCTGCACCTACCTCCAGACATCACCTGGGCACACTTGCAGAGGCAGTTATCGTTGTCTGAGTCAAAGGTGCTAAAGCTGGTGTTTTGCAGAACCATGCTGCTCTGGCGCCCTGCTGAGCCGTGGTACCCGCCCAGAGAAAGCCTGGAAGCCAATCAGAGGTGGTGGTGGCAGAAAGGCCCAGAGTCAGGGTGAGACTGTGTTGAGGAAGAACTTCTCCAATGGCTTTGCCCCAGGCTGAGCTTCTCCTCCAGGTGTTCTTGAAGGGAAAGCCCCAGCCTGGGTGTGGCGCTTGGGCCGTTTCCCCTCCTGATTGCCTTTCCTGCCTGCTGCCTCCCAGGCACCTACTGTATGCCAGGCCTTCCCCATCTCAGTGAACCTAAGTCTTGGAGAGAAGTGAGAATGGTCACAGAAATGATAATAATGGTGAATATATGTATATATTTTTAGAGACATCATCTTGCTCTGTTGCCCAGGCTGGAGTGCAGAGGCATGATCACGACTCATTACAATCTCAACCTCTTGGGCCCAAGCAGTCCTCCCACCTCAGCCTTCTGAGTAAATGGGTCTATAGGCATGTGCCACTGTGCACGGCTAATGTTTGAATTTTTTGTAAAGACGGGGTCTCGCTATGTTGCCCAGGCTGGTCTTGAACGCCTGAGCTCAAACAATCTGCCGCCTAGGCCTCCCAAAGCTCTGGGATTACAGATGTGAGCCACCATGCCTGGCAACACATTTTTTCTTTTCTTTTTCTTTTCTTTTCTTTTTCATCTACTATGTGTCAGGCATTGTTCAAAGTTCTTTGCACGGGGTTAACTCATTCTCATTTAATTCTCACAACACCCTATTCCCATTTTACACATGTATAAAAAGATCCTAAGAATCAAAGAAATCTGCTTAAGGTCTTATAATAAATAAGGGTCAGAACCACATGGAGCCTACGTGGCCTGACTTGGGAGGCCGTGCTCCCTGGTTGATGATGATCCGGCAGCCCCAGCCCCATCACACCTCTCATTAACCCACCTCTTCTCCCAGAGAGCAGTCCAGCCAAGGATGTGAAGGTCTGCCTTGGGACAGTGACTCTAATATCAATCGCTGAGTGTTTACTACCTGCCAGGCACTGTGTTGATGCTTCATGTGTGGTATCTCATTCAGGCCTCATCACACTTTTTTTGAGGCAGGTATGCCTAAGGTATCTACAGACGGAAAGGTGAAGGGACTTGCTCGGAGTCCTTCAGGGAAGTAGGGATGGAGTCAGGACTTCAGCCTTTGTGTTGGTGGCCAGTGGCTTAAATGGGACTCTGCAGGGTGTTGTAGCTACTCACTGATCAGCTGTGAGGAGTAAGGGGACATCCAGGGAGTTGTTCATTCAGCTCTGGACCTTGCATTATCAGATTGGTATGGCTCCCATAAGGAAAGATGTCAGAAGTACCCAGTTGGAGGAAACAGTGGGGGAGCATCACCGAGAAGTCCCCAGAAGTAAAATCAGGCATAAAGTTCGAAAGGAAAGAGTCACACAGAGATTCCTTGGGAGGAAGCGACCTTCCCATCAGGGGAAGTATTCCAGCACAGCTGGATATTGACTGTGACCATGGAGGGAATCTATGAAAAACCAGATGACATGTGAGGTCCTTTGTAGCCCTGTGAGTGTGAGTGTATAAATCTAATTCTGTCCTTGTTCCAAGATAGCCAGGATTCAGGCTTATCTAAAAGATCCTTGAATTTCTCTGAGAGGTAATATCATGCTGTGGAGACATCATGAGTTTTGGCAGCAGGGAGATCAGAGTTCAAATTCAGGCTAACTTGATCTGAGTTCAAATACAGGTTATCTTGTGACTTTTGGCAGGATACTTAAGCATGGTGTCTCAGTTTCCAGATTACCAAAGTAGGTACAGAAATGCCTACCTCAAAGTGTTGTGGGGAGGATTAAATGGAATAATGGTGTCTGGAACATAGTAGGTGCGCAATACATGCTAATTCCTTTTCCTAAATATACTAAGAACCAGGCTGAGGAAGGGGTGAGAAACCTTGATGATCTTACATCATCATATTTAAGCTTATTCTGCCACTGAAGAAGCAGAGGCTCAGAGAAGCGAGCTGACTTGTCTAAGTTCCCAAAGCAAGCTGGAGCGAGGCCACAATGAGTGCAGGAATTTCAACTCCCGGCCCAGGGACACTTCCACCCAACCCCAGGGCATAGGACAGACTGGGCAAGTCACCTCCCTTTGCTTCTGGGTCTCTGTAAAAAGGCTGACTTGACATGACTGACCTTGGAAGACCCCTTCTTGCTTCTCGGGTGGCAAGGCCAATGACATTCTTTCCACCCCACCCGGTGGCTAGGACATGCTGAGTGCTAACCAGCTGCCTCCAGATCCCATGACGTGCACCCAAATGGGGGACAGATGGTAGGAACAGGAGACGCCCAGAGACTGACCCTTGGTGCACACTCTGTAGACACTAGTTTGGGGACCCCAGCACACCCACTAGCCTGATTACCCTGCCAGCCCACCCACCGGCCTGGACCCTGAGCCCACCTGTACAGCTGGCCCTCACTGCCCAGCTGGAAATGCTCATACTGGGCATAGGTCTTGTGGCCTTCCCAGTCTTGCAGCTCCACACGCAGAGAGTAGGGTGCCCTGCTGGTGAGCTGGTACACCACCTCATTGCCAAGCCAGTGCTCCCCAGCTGGATCTCCGAAGCCCTACAGGGAGCGGAGCATGGGGTGAGATTCATGCTGAGGAGGAGGCCATGTCCCTGGCTGCGGAGCTGGGCTGGGCCAAGCTCCAGGGCTACTTATACAAAACCACTGTGCTTAATGATCGAGTTCATAAGTACAGTGTAGGCAGGCCCAGGAGTGGGAGCCCTCCACCTTCTAGAGGAAAAAGACTAAGACTTTTGTAAGTGTAACAGCCTGTTAAAAGCTATGGAAATCACATTCTTCTGAAGTTCAAGAACAGGAAAAACGAATCTTTGGTGACTACCTTTGGGGGAGTATTGACTGGGAGGAGGCGCAAAGTGGACCTCTGGGTGCTGGGAGTGTTGTACATGTAACTCTGCATGGTGGTCACGTGATTGGATACACATGTAAGGATTCACTGAGCTTTACACTTTGGGATTTGAGCACTTAGCCACATGTATGTCAAATCTCAACAAAAATTAAATAAAAGATTTCAATCAGCTACATAAACAGTAGAGCAAACTTCCTTCAGTGACAGTGCAACCACTGCAAGATTTCAGCAACATAGAAATGTAAAACTGAGCGTGGGGAATGTCACGTCCCAATGCCCCTGGACAGAGCAATAATTCAGCACCAAGGACAGGGGCACACAGAAGGCCCGCTCCCCATTTCAGTCCCCGTGCAGTGTGGATTAGCCTGATGGTTAATATTCAGTGGTCTTTTGTGCATTTCTGCATCTGCACACCCTATTCCTCCTTTCCATCTTAATAATTGTTTAAAACTCAATTAGTTAAAAACACTCATAACAATTTGGTATTTAAGTATTCTTTAAATGAACAGCAAGCAGACACAAATAATAAAACTGCTGTATTACCTTGTGGGTATCTTTTTCTATTTCTTTGGCTTTGAAAACTTTAAAAGCTTTCAAGTATTTTAAGTCAGCTTGACAAAAATTCCTTTATTCAAAACCTAATTAAAAATTGGGAAACAATCAGGCTTCTCATTTGATAAAATACACGTGCTCTTTGGGCCTGCAATTCCTTGTTAATGAATCTCTCCTGCAGAGTGGCCATGGATGTAGGAAAAGACAAGAAAATTCACTAAAGCAGTGCAGTCAGGGGTGACTGGGAGGGGTTGTTTGTCTGTTCCCTCCTTTGTATTCTTCAAAAGATCAGCAATGTATATGTATTATATTTTAAAAAAATTAAAACAAAACTAAAGCTAAACTTTTTTCTTAAAATATATGTAAGAACTTTCAAAAAGAACATTCAAATTCAGGTAGTGTGGTCTCATCAGTAGATGTGCACCATTGGCTTTAGACAAGTTGATTTTTTTTCTGGGGGAGGAATGAGGGCAAAGCAGACCCCTTCCAACAGCCCAGCCCCTGCCCCAGGTTTCAGGGCTGAATGGCCCCTCTCCAGGGCAGCAGGATTACCTGTTTGTAATCCTTCCAGTTCCGCTGGAAATTCACGGTGCCATTCTCACGGCGCTGGATGATGGTCCACCTGCCTCCACTGCTCTGCAGGTCACAGAACACCTGGAGGGGGTGGGCAAGGCACAGCTGGGAGCCCTTGGAAGCAGCCAGAGGCCAGGTCTGTGCTGGCTCAAATGTGGCTAGGCTGACCGACCCTCACAGAGTAACAGGTGAGCCTGGGCGTCCTGGGCATCAGAATGATCCAGGCTCAAACTCTCCATCCACTGTCATCATTTTTCTAAAGTGATGAGTAAGTAATAACTTCTCAGAAACTTCCTCTCCTCATTTGTAAAATGGAGGTTCATACCTTAACCTCTTCGTGCCTCAGTCTCTCATCTGCAAACTAGGGTTGTGAAAAATTAAGTGAGATGAGTCGTGTAAAGTGTTAAGAACAGTGCCTAGCACATACTAGGTAAATGGAAGCTTGGCCTCTTTTTGTTGAAAGGAGAGTTTAGCAGGTATGTGAGAAGTGTAAAAGACAACCTGGAGACAAGCAGAGGCATTGCTCTTGGCATATGAAAAGGGAGTGAAAGGAAATTGAGTCATGGTGGCTCATGCCTGTAATCCTAGCACTTTTCGGGGCCAAAGAGGGAGGATCGCTTGAGCCCAGGAGTTTGAGACCAACCTAGGAAACATAGGGAGACTTTACCCCTACAGAATGTTATAAAATATTAGCCAGGGCATGGTGGCATGTTCCTGTGGTCCCAGCAACTTGGGAGGATGAGGCAGGAGGATCACTCAAGCCCAGGAGGTAGAGGCTGCAGTGAGCTATAATCACGCCATTGCACTCCAGCCTGGGTGTCAGAGCGAGACCCTGTTTAAAAAAAAAAAAATGGGAGCCATTCATTGAAGATGGTGGCTCCTCCATTAGCCCTGGTTTCTAACTTCTCACACAGAGCAGAACCCCAAGTCCTGCCTTCAACCGGATAATATGTAAACTAGAAAGAAGTGTCTTTATGCTAAGCCCCTGGAATTTTGGGGCTTATTTGTAGTATCAGCTAGCATCATTTTAACCAACACAGAACTATTTCCTCCTGTTCCAGTGAATGCATCTCTAAAGTGATGCTGGTGAAGGATGCACTTCCAGCTTTGCAAACTTCTGCTTATCCCCACAATCTGACCCCTGACTGCTGGGGGTTTCAGAAGTCAAGGCCACCCCTACACCTCTGGTATTTCAGATACTGGACAAAGCCTGTTGCTGATGGGGTGGAGGGTGTCTGTCTGGGAAGCCCTTGGCCCAGCACCCTCTAACAGCCACAGTTCCCAGGGAGCCCCCTAACCTTCCTGGGCTTTGCTGCATTGGACACCTGGATGGTGTAGACATCACTGGCATTGGCCCCAGAGCGCTGGATCTCTGCACAGTCCTGGAACACCTGCTCACCTGTCATTATAAAGGTTGCAAAGGGACAAAACAAAAGTCAGCTGGAGCCAAGGAAAGAGAGAAGGGGCCAAGTGGGCATGCCTGCCTGCTTTATGTTCTGGGTTAGGAAGTGCTGGGGACAGGGAGATGAGTCAGGCCTGAGAAGATATTGTAGAGGAGGTGACAGTAAGCTGGGACCTGGACAATGAGCAGGAGTTGCCCATGAGGAAGGGGAAGATGTTCGAGGCAAAGGAAACAGCATATGCAAAGGCCCCAAGGTAGGAAGGGCCCTAGTGTATGCAGGGGACAGGGCATGGGCAGGGAAACTGAGGCTGAGGCCAGGGAGAGGAAATGACTCACACCATGAGAGAGGAGTTGAGGCCAGGGAGTCTGCTTGCTGTTTGATGAAACTGAGAGGGTAGAACATGGCTGGCACAGAGAAGGTGAGGAAGGGAGAGGAGAGAGGAGACTGAGATTTCAGCAGGGCCAGGTCAGCCTTGAATGCCAGGCTGAAGAGCCCAGATTCTCTGGGCTGAGAAAGAGCACTCTGGCCAGAGTGTGGAGTGGGGGACTGGAGAGGATGAGGCTCAAAGCTGGGAGGCCAGAGAGAATGCTGTTGGGGTTTTCTAGGAGAGAGTTACTGGGGTCTGAACTTCAATGAAGCACTTCCCATTTCACAGACCAGGAAACTGAGGCCCAACAGTAAGAAAACTAGCCCAACGGCACACAGCCAGGCAGGACAGAACTTTCCTTCCTTGGAGCTCTGTTGGGTGGGGGCTGTGGGCTCCCCTCCATAGCCCACCCTTTTGGCTGGATCTCCCTGCTTCCCTGGGCATTGGCCCCCTTATCTGTCCTCCCTGGAAGCTGACTGCTGGCTTTAAAGGGTCTCTGTTTCTTCCCTTTGGACTACATGAGATCAGAAGAGAATTTAATGACCAAAATCTCCCAAGGGTTTCTAGGCCTGGGCTGGAAAAAGTGACTGTTGACAAATAAAGTGCAGAGACTTAAAATTTCCTGTCTCAGTTAGTGGGATCCAACTAGAGATTTGAACTATGAGGCTATGAGAATCCAATCTCTCTAGGTAGGCAGGTACCCAGGATGGGGCCAGAATTCCAGACGGATAGGTTGTCAACACCAATGAGGAACTGGGAGGCTACCACGGGGTGGGACTTCCTGGTTTGGCTTTACACTTGAACTTCAGGGATCCCCAATCCTGGATCTGGGGCACTTGTCTGGAGAAGGCTGTTGCTCTCATGCCACAAATCAGGTGACTAAGCCCCCCAGATCCATCCCAGTTTGCCCAAAAGCATTTCCTGGGCAGGGGTCTCCACTGCCCCACCTGTCAGCAACCCTCTAGCTTCCCATGGGGACCTGGAGTCCAGCCAAGCATGAGGAAGCTACTGGCCTCAAGGTGAGCAGGGATGGGCCGAACTTCACCCAGTAAGGCAAGGACAGAGCCAGGGTTGGCCTGAGATTTCCAGCCACCCTTTCCAAGGCTCTGCTCACTGTTATTTTCCTTAGTCTTCAACAACATCAATAATAACAACAATAATATCAATGCTAAAAGTGAAATACTCACCAGGTATTGTAGTGTTTCCAAGGCGCCATGTAACAGCAGCGGTATTTTGGGACCAGGAAAAATATTTTTGGGAGTCATAAGAATAGGATAAATGGGTATTGATATGCAATGATTTGACCGAGTCCTCCTCTGAATCTCTGGGCTGGTAATTTGTACCAGTTTCCCTGCTTTTGGCCATAGGCACTGTGCTGAACCCCTTTGTATGCACAAACTCATCTGATTCTCTGTGTAAAAGCTCGATAAGATTATTATTCCCATTTTACAGATGAGAAAAACTGAGCCTCTGAAAAGTTAAATAAATGACTTGTATGAAGTTCCAGTGCCAATAAGTGAAGGAAGCAGACCTTGAACTCTGGCCCATGTGACTGCAAAGCCAGTGCCCTTCCTCCACATCTCCTCTTGGATTTCCACCACTGAGCATGCATAAGGCTGGGGAAACAGCCTGCCTTAACAATTGCTGTTTTTACATCGTACAAAGGTTAGGTCTTTTCTACCTGTGCCCTTGTCCTTGTAACCTTCTGAACCAAACTCCCCAGTGCCTGGAAACAGCAGAAGACTTGACTCTTTTCCTTTCACCAGCCTCCATCTGACGAGGACAAAGCTATGCAGAGAGCTGGTGCTCCCTTCCTGCTAGACTTCAAGGATGCCTGGCTCCTGTGCCCCATCTCCATCCAACCCTCTTTTCCACTCCCGGTGACTGAGTTCTTCAGGTTCTCCATTCAGAAGGGGGCGAAAGCAGCCTCCTAGTGTCCTTCCCTGGTCATAGTGAAGCACAGGGGACAGGGTGTTTGGGCAAAAGGTGCCCCAAGTGATGCGTGCTACACAACCTCCTACTCAAACGACTGAGCAGACATTCAGCCTCAGATGGAGACTGGGTCAGTGGTGGGTTAGTGGGAGAGGCATTGGGTCCAGGCCCTGTGCCTTGGGCTAAGCTGCAAGAAACCCACACGTGGGATGAATTCAGGTAGCCTCACTGCCAGATCCATGCATAAGCAGGTAATGGGTTCGGGTTAATCCACATCTTGTGATTTAGAAGGTGTCTACTTTTCCTGCCTGTAGCTTCCTTAGGCCTCAGATCCTTACTTGGCTGGGTCTGCCAGACTTAGATGGAGCCAGGTGGGGTCCTGTGTTTTCAAATCTCTGTCAGCCCCGGTGGTGCCTGGAGTGCCATCATTACTACATCTCAAAGGCCTTCCAGCCTTCCTTCATGGATCCAGGGCAGCAGTAGCCCCTTCCGTCTGTCTCTCTCATCAAGCCATCTCAATTCATGGCTCCAATAGGAGCTTCTTGAAAGTAGTCTCACTCTGTTCAAAAGCCTCCTATGCCCCCTGCTAGCCTCAGGCTAAGAGCCCCTCTCCTTCCCACAGCCTTTGGACTTGTCCGTTTTCATGGTCTGGAAACTTCAGGAACACTGATAGCTGAGCATCTGGCACACGTCTGGCACTCAAAAACCATGTGGTTCTTTCTCCTTCCCTCTGGGACCCATAGACCAAGGACGAGATATTTTCACAAGAGACAGAGGCCGTGACTATGCATTCACTGCTATAACCCCAGCACCCAGCACTGGGCCTGGCACACAGTAAGTGCTTAGTACATGTTTGTTGACTGAGTGATTGCAGCTGGGACCAAGCATACCTTGGCCATCCCAAGAAGGCTGCATTAGAAGGAGTCAGTGAGGGCCTGGGAGCAGGCCCAGGCATTGCTTTCCCTTCCCAGAAACCAGGGCCAGGGAGGCCTCCTCACTTCTGTCTGGCCCTCTTGGGCTTAGGGCAGGGGCATTAAGTTGAGAGAGGTCCTTGGGGTGCATTGAGTTCAACCTCCCAGTTCCTTCCCATTCAATAGATAGGGAAACCGAGGCCAGAGAGGGGTAAGACAAGCCCAAGAAAGTGGAGCTGGAGAGTGAATCCTGGAGACCAAATTTGTCAGTCTGGGCTGCTGTTGTCCTTATCCTCACCTCCAAAACCCACGGGTAAACTGAGGCCAAGAGAAGGGCAGGGGCATGCCTAAGGTCACCCATGGAATCAGGGAAGAGGGTCTGGATTGGGATTGTTGTTGCCGCTATTGTTATTGCTGTTTGTTGTTATTTCTACTTCACAGATGGTCGGGGAGGGTGGGGCCCCCCCGCAACGGTTTCCAGGCCCCCAGAGACCCAGAAGTGTGAGCAGGGTCTCCCTCCCATCTCCCGCCAGTCTCCAGCCGCACTGGGGCGCACCGCTCCACTCACCCGGGGCCAAGGCCTTAGCCCTTTCTTGCATCCGGTCCCGCCACACTGCCAGCTGCTGGCGCAGTTGGTGCTGTTGTTCCTGCAGGAGGCTGGAGTTGTGCCTGAGACCTTGCAGGCCGCGCTCGATGTTGGTGAGGGCGGTGCTCTGGCGGCTCAGCGCATCCAGCAGCTGCTCCTTCTTGCTGAGGAGGCTGGCCAGCTCCTCCTGCTGCTTCATTTCCAGGGCCTGCAACCGCGCTTCTAGCGTGCTGCCGGGTAGAGGGCGCACAGAGGTGAGCCTGCGGTCCTCGCGAAGCAAGCACCCCACCGCGTGCCTCCCTCGGCCCCGGAGTCCCTGCAGCCCGACGATGAGACTCAAGTGTGGTGGAGCGCCGTGGGCCCACTGTAGGCACAGATTGAAGAGGGGAGAAAAGAGATACCCAGCCCTGGCGTAATAAAGATTGAGGTCCAGTAGAAAAAAGAAGTGGTGTGGGAAGGACACCAGCAACTGGGTAGCTATTATCAAATCCCAAATGTGCTTGCTTTTTGATCCAGCAGTCTACTCTCAGGGGGCATCTTCCAGGCGGCACGGGCAAGAATGGCCCTGGGGCCTTGCTTGTAATAGAAACAACAAACAAACCAAAAACCGATATAGCCTAGATGCCCAACAGCCAGGACCGGCTGAATCCGTTGTGTTTTGACATGCCTGGAAATGCTCCGCAGCCGTGAAGGAGGAGGCTGGGTGCATTTGCACAGAACCAGAAAGCTGCCCAGGACTTGGGTCACATCAAGTCTAACCCCATGTGTGGCAAGAAAAAAAAAAAAAAAAAGACAGAAAGTATTATGTAAATATAGAGAAACAGGGTGATCCAGCCCCAGCCCCAGCCCTGGCTCTGGTGCCCGCCCTAGGTCCCAAACTTGACTCCAGCCCCAGCCCCTGCCCTAGTCTGGTGCCAGGTGCCACACCCACCTGTTTTGGGCCTGAAGCTGCTGGAGCTTCTGCCTCTGCAACAGCAGCTGGTCCTCCAGCTTGGTGGTGGACAGGAAGGTCTCCAGCATCTGGGCGTCCATTCTTGATGTCTGGCTCAGGAACTGCTCCAGCAAGCAGAAGCCGGTAGGGGACTACATAAGCCCTACAGGAGCCCTGGCCAACCACCCACCTGCCCACAGACCCTGCCACTCCAGAAACTCACTGACCCGTTTCCGTAGTTCCTGTGGTCACTCATTCACAGGCCCTAACTTAGGTTAGCTTCCTAACTTAGCTTCCTAAATTTGCCTTTCCCCATCACTGCAATGGCAGCTCCATTCCTCCTGCTGCTTTGGCCCCAGGAGCCGTCATCCCTGTCCCCCACATCCAACCGACCTGCAGGGCCTGTCAGCTCTACCTCCCAGGTGGCAGCTGACCATTTCTCTCCTGCTCTGTGGCCTTTACTTTGGCCCTGGACTCCCACCCTTGTTCCCTACAGTCCATTCTCTACTCAGCCGCCTGGGGCTGCCTCTTAAAACAAATTTGCTCTGTTCAGAATCTTCCTGTGACTCCCATCTCATGCAACAGAAAAGCCCCAGTCCTCACCATGGCCTGCAAGGCCCTGTAGTGTGATCTGTCCCTATCACTTCTCCAGCTCCTTGCCTGCCACTCTCCTCCTGGTCACTCCAGCATACTGGTCTCTTGATGTTCTTGAACCCGCCAGCACGCCCATCGTCCCTCTGGGCCTTTGCACGTGCTGTGTCCCCTGTCTAGAGCACTCTCTGCAGTAAGCCTGGCTGCAGCCCTACCCTTCTCCATGGCCCTTCCTGGCCTTGCTGTATGAACTCGCAGCTCTCATCCCTCCCACCACTCCCGGTGCACCCCTCTCTTGCTCTGTCCTTCACTCTATTTTCTCCTTAGCACGGTCACTGGCTAACATATACAGCCACGTGTTGCTTAACTATGGAAAGATGTTGTAAGAAATTCGTCATGATGCGATTTCGTCATTGTGCAAACATCATAGTGTGTACTTACACAAACCTAGATGGTATAGCCGCCTACACACCTAGGCTATATGAGACAGCCTGTTGCTCCTAAGCTACAAACCCATACAGCACGGGACTGTACCGAATACCGTAGGCAGTTATACCACCGTGGGAGGTATTTGTGTATGCATATCTAAACATAGAAAAGGTGCAATAAAAACAGGGTGTGAGAATCTTATGGGCCTGCCATTGTCTGTGTGGTAAGTTGTTGACTGGAACATTGTTAAGTAGTGCATAACCACACATGTCACTTATCTTTCCGTTTCCAGGGGAAGCTTCACAGCGGTAGGAATGCATGCCTGCTTTGTTTCCTGCCATATACTAGAAACAATCTTCTCAAGCAGTGCCCGGCACACAGGGGATCCAACAAACAAAGTTTCATCCACTGACTTCCCCACCCTCCCGTTTATCCACCAGTTCCCTCCCTGCTCTTTGCTGCTCAGATACCTCCTCTCTCCAAGTCCTTGGCTCCCGGAGGCCCAATTAATTAGTTCTTATCTATCTTCCCCTGGTGCATTATAAGCCCCCCAAGGGCAAGGGGGCTGTGCCGCTCTACCCCTCAACCCAGTGCCCAGCACAGAGCCCGGCACTGAAGTTATAGAGGCAGAAAAGCCAAGTCCAGCATCTACCTCCCAGGGCTCATAGTTTACAGGGAGATAGTTTTATGACAAGGTCATCAGAAAGGAGGGGCCCAGGGGGCTACAGGCCCAGAGGAGGCCTTGACCCTACCCAGGGACAGAGGTCAAGATAAGATGACTGGGGCTACGAGCCAGCCTGGCCAGTCGCAGGTCCTCAGTGCCCACTCGTTCATTCTCTGTTACCTGAGCCTCCATGTCCGTCAGCTTGCGGGTCTGGATAGCGGTCTGGTTCAGGAAGCTGGTGTCCAGCTTCAGCAGGGGAGCTGTCTGATTCTGGACCATTTGCTGCTGGGCCTCCACCAGCTCCAACCTCAAGCGCGTCTTGATGGTCCTCTCTAGCTGTGGGAGACCATGGGCTGGGGTCATGGGGGAGAGGCTGGGGAAAGCCTCCGTCCCTCACACGTGTCTCCATGGAAGGGCATTGAGCAGGCACCAGAGAGAGGCCTCTCTGGTTCAGAACATGTCAGGCCAGGTCAGGCTACCTTTACCTCTTGCCTGGACAGTCACAGTAGGTGCTTCCTTGGGAGGGATTACATGCCTGTTTTGTCTGCCTCTCTGCCTCCATCCTTGTCCCCTTCACGGTCATCCCCCACTAGGCAGCCAGAGGGATCCTGCTAAACCTAAGTCAAGTCACACTCCTCCTCTGCTCAAAATCCTCCCGGGGTTCCTACCTCACTCAGAAAAGCCGAGACTGCAGGTTCCTCCATGACTGGGCCTGCCCCTACCTCTCATTCTCTTCCTATTCCCCTCTCCCTCGCTCACTTCAATCCCGATGCAATGCCTTGATGACGTCCCTCCAACAAAGCAAGCATGCGCCCCCCTCAGGGCCTTTGCACATGCTGTTTCCTCACTGTTCCCTCTGGAATCCTCCCCCAGCCCCGCACCCCATCTGTGTGGCACACACCCTCATGTTGTTTCAGGTTTCTTCATACCGCTTATCACCACTTGACTTTTTAAAATGACTACCTCTCTTTTTATATGTCTGTCGTCTGTTTCTCTCTCTAGAATGTCAATTCCATGAAGCCAGGGACTTGGTTTTGCTATCTTATTTCTATGTTTGGTACAATGCATGGCACACAGCGAGTGCTCATAAATATGGGTTCAATGAATTGATGAAAAAGGGGAAGCAGCAAGGGTCAGAGCACAGCACCCAACCGCAAGCCCCTTCCCCACTTCCTCGGGGCAAGCCAGCCAGCAGGGAGTGGGAATGCATCTCTCCCTTGTACAAAGAGTTTGCAGGTCCGTTGGCCAAGCTGTGCTTTCTATCTTCAGGTCCCCTCCATCTGCAAATGGGGCTAGACTGGTCAGTCTCCAAGGGTTCTCCCAGCTCTGATATTCTGGGTTCCCACGTGCTAATGTTCATTTCTTTGACAGGGCTGCTCTCTTTCCCAAGGGCAGGAGAGTTGGTCTGGCACAGCACCAGGATCATGTTGTAAAGGTGAACAGTGTGTTCTCAGGGCTCAGTGCCTGCCGGGAGAGAGCCAGCTCCGCTCCACCATTCCCTCTCCATTTGGCACACATGCTGGCTTCTCACCACGCCCCCCATCCCCGTCCCTGGCTCCTTCCCTTGACTTCTCACTCAGTCTTTCAGAAGGTCCAACTGGACAGCTCCCAGGGTCCCTGGGAAGATGGGTGCTCCCCAGGAGACGTGGTGACCTTTGCTCCGGCCAGTCTCCAGCCACTTCCTCCTTCATCTCTTCTCCCTTCTTCCATCTTGACTGTCCACTCCCATCCCTTCCTCCCCCTGGAGTATTTCAAAGGGAGCATGCTCCATTATCAAATCCTGGAGTGGGTGCTTGTGGGCAGTAGTAGTATTGGTTAGACTATGTTTCTCAAAGTATGGTTCTTCCCTCAGCATCAGCTGAGAGCTCATGAAAAATGAGAATTTCCAGGTCCCACCCCAGACCTACTGAACTGGAAACTCTTAACGGTGCCCAGCCAGCTGTGGTTAACAACCCCCTGGCTGCGTTAGATGCTTGCTCAAGTGTGAGAGCCCTTGCTGCAGAGATGGCAGGGGGACTGAAGACCAGAGAGAGACCCCCTTCCTTCCTTCTCTGCATCATTAACCCACCCCCGTCCTGCAGCACATAGCATGTGCTAACAAGTTCCATCTAAAAACTAACCCCATGGCCTGTCTGGCGGCTTCTCCAGTTTCTCTGGTCTCCTCAACACAAAACTTCTACAAGTTGTCTCCATATTCTCACCTCCATACCCACCCTCACTTAAAAAAAAAAAAAAAACCATAATGTTAATATAATAATGTTACATTTCACACATATAAAAAAGCATAGAGGCCAGGTGCGGTGGCTCACACCTGTAATCCCAGTACATTGGGAGGCTGAAGAGCAGGCGTCCCCAAACTACGGCCCGTGGGCCGCATGCAGCCCCCTGAGGCCGTTTATCCGGCCCCCCGCCGCAGTTCAGGAAGGGGCACCTCTTTCATTGGTGGTCAGTGAGAGGAGCACAGTATGTGGCGGCCCTCCAATGGTCTGAGGGACAGTGAACTGACCCCCTGTGTAAAAAGTTTGGGGATGCGTGCTGAAGAGGGTGGATCATTTGAACCCAGGAGTTTGAGACCAGCCTGAGCAACATGATGACATTTTATTTCTACTAAAAATACAAAAATTAGTTGGACATGGTGGCACAAGCCTGTGATTTTTGCTACCCAGGAGACTGAGGCAGGAGGATTGCTGGACACCAGAAGGCAGAGGTTGTGGTGAGCTGAGATGGCACCACCGGACTCCAACCTGGGCAACAGAGTAAGATTGTATCTAAAAAAAAAAGTATAGAGAATAAACATAACCTGTAGTGTTCATCCTCCTGTACACTCCCAGTCACATCTCTCCATCTGGGGATGTCCATTTGCCTTTTGGGGTCTCACTGTCGCCCAGGCTGGAGTGCAGCAATGCGATCATGGCTCGCTGCAGCCTCAAACTACTGGCTTCAAGCAATCCTCCCACCTCCCAAATAGCTGGGACTACGGGCAGGCACCACCGTGCCCAGTTCCCCCTTCGCTCCTTAATTCATCTTCTCATAGATAGCCCTCCTTGACACTGCACTCAAGGGACACTTTTGTGTCTTCTTCTTGCTTGACATCTCAGGACCAATCACCCAAGTGGCCGCTCCCTGTTGCTGGACGACTTCCATCCTGGTTTCCTCCTAGCCCCTAACCGCCCGCTCTCTGGCTCTGCCTTTATAGACTCCTACATGGCAGGGGCTCTCACGGCCCAGTCCTGGGTCCTTGTCTCTATGTACATTCACTCCCCAGGTCAGGGGTCCTTAATGAGGAACCACAGGCTCCCATGAACTTGAGTGAGAAAAAAGAATCACATCTTTTGTCCACTAATCTGCAATTAAAATTTGGCATTTCCTTCCATCATGAGCTTAGGTCACAAACCGCAGGCATACTAGCAGGTCCTGAGACTCAATAGAAATCCCAAATATTTTCATATCACAACACATTCTTACAGTATCTTAAAACATTGTTTTTACTCAGCCTGATTTGGGAATTATAGACATTATCACACCCATCGCTGAATAATGCTATGACTGATGACAGATTTTAGTTTTCATATTTTGCTTATGGTTTCCATATTACTGAGTGTTCCTATGCTTTGATTTTATGCATTTCTGAGAAAGGATCCTTAAGCTTCACCAGGACCAGATGCCAAGGAATCTGACACTCCAAATGCATCAGGGCCCTGCCCCAGGTGCTGAGATGAGTCCCTGGACTTCCACATCCCCTCGTGCTGATGGGGCCATTACCATCTCCCACCCAGACTTCTCCCCTCCATGTTCCCAACTCACCATCTCTGCATGGTTTCCAATGAGCATCTCAAGCCCAATGTGAAACCCTTGATTCCTCAGCTCCCACCACCCCGTCCCTGCAACTCCCACCTCATTCTCCCAAGTCTTTCCCATCTCAGGAAATGAACCCACCCAGTTCTGAGCCCTAAACTCAGACCTCAATCTTTTTTATTTTTGAGACAAGTTTCCCTCTGTCACTCAGGCTGGACTGCAGTGGCGTGATCTCAGCTCACTGCAACCTCCGCATCCTGGGTTCAAGTGATTCTTCTGCCTCAGCCTTCCGAATAGCTGGGACTACAGGTGCGTGACATCATGCCCAACTAATTTTTGTATTTCACCACATTGGCCAAGCTGGTCTTGAACTTCTGGCCTCGTGATCCGCCAGCCTCGGCCTCCCAAAGTGCTGGAACTACAGGTGTGAGCCACCTCACCTGGCCTCCAGACCTCAATCTTAACTTCTTTTTTTCTTACTGGCCACACTCAACCCACTAGTAAGTACTGCCCACTATGATCCCAATGTAGATTTCAAATCTATTTACTCGCCTTATTCTGGGCCAGGCTGCCCTCCTCTCCATGGGTCTGCCTCTTGCGCCTTCCTACCTCTAACCCCTCTGTCAGCTCCCAGGAGATTCTAATGTTTGGCTGGCTGGGCCCACCAGCGTGGATAAGGACAAACGCAGCTATACGGAGTTTGGTCTCAGACTTCTTCATGCATCATTCACCTCCTAGAACCTAAATTAAAAAGCAGACTTCCAGGTACTGAGCACCTGCTCCAAGTGGTCAAACAGCAAATTCAGGCCTAAGGTGAGCCTTTCCCAGGCATCTTCCCCAAGATCCTCATTTGCCTGAACACGGACAATCTGAGGTCTGAAGGCTAGGTTCTAAGACTCTTTGCTTAAGGGCTGCAGAGCTGAGCTGGTGATTCAGGGCAGCTCAGGGTCCTCTCGAGTGACTGGAGCTCCTCAAGCACCTCCCTGGTCCCCCACTTGTCTTATAGTTGCAAGTGACTGAGCGGGGCAAAGGCTACCCACAGCTGGAGCCCATCACCCAATTAGCCACAGCCTCCCACCAGCACGGGTCCTGGGATGGATAATCTGGACCAGATGGGCTCAGTTAGGCTACGCTGGGCTCTGGAGACTAACATTGGCCTGGGTGGTGGGAGTTGGGTCTGGCTCATGGCTCAGGCACCAGCTGGAAGGGCAGGGAATGGATCTCAATAGAGGAACGGATTCAACATGGGATCTACTGCTCTTTATGCCCCGCACCGACTCCAGGATTAGACCTGCCCCTTCTCCATCACTCTTAGGCTGCCGAATTCTCAGGCCTGCGATGGGGCACAAAGACCTGACCTCTAATCACCTTTCCAGCCAGCAAAGAGGCTGAGCTTTGGTTCGTGGCCTACCGCGCCCTCCCCTTGGCCCTGAGTTTGAGTTCTGGCTCTACCACACTCTTACTGTGGGCCCTTGGAGAGTACTGTGTTTCTCTGAGCCTCACTTTACAGATCTGCATCATGGGTCAGAACACCCTGCTGT